CTCGGGAAGCCCCAGGGCAGAAAGCCGAAAAGCCAGGAGAGGACTTGGTTTCGAGGACCTCCTCCAACCCCACTCTTACTAACTGGTGTAGAAAAGGGAGAGGGAAGCCTGGTCTTTGCTTGCATGGGTTCCTTAGGGGCAGAAGCGTCCCCTCGGCCGGTGTCGACCGGAGGTGGCCATTAGCGCTGGGCGCTTGGTACTGAAAAAGCCCTACCGGGGCGAGGGGCCTCCTCCGGCCCGAGACTCCGGGCCCGGTCCGGGTGTCAGGTGCGGCCCTCGGTTTCCTACCCTCGCGGCACCGGCGACGACAACGCACAGACCCCGGGCTGAGACCGGTCACCCGCCCGACCGCCGGGAACCTGGGACCCAGGCTGGCCCCGAGCCGCATCGTGCCCGCCCCCGCCCTACCTGAGGGGGACCGGGCGGGGTCGCTAAGGGCCGCTCCCGGGAGCCCCGCGACCGCGCGGCTCGGCGACGGAGGCGCCTCGTCTCGCCGGGGCAGAGCTCGGCGGCGGCTTCACGGCCTCAAACTCCATCGGGAGGTACAGGGACAGCCCCGTTGGCGGCGGCGGAGGCCGCGACGGGGCTTCCTCCTCCCTCCGCCTCCGCCTCCTTCTCCTTCTCCTCCTCCTCACCAAGGAGGCGGACCTGGAGGGATTCCGACCTAGTTCTCGCGAGAAGATACTCCCCACCTCACGCGAGATCACGACTGACCGGGAGCTGGGGAGGTGGAAGGGAAGCGTAGTAGCCCCCGCCCCCTGGACTGCGCATCAGTTTTCCTCGGGTCTACAGAACCACCCCTTCACGTGACTAGGGAGCTCTGGAGCACTGTGGGAGGTGCTGTTAGGAGGCCTGGGCAAGCCGAAGGGCTTGATGGGAAACTCCCTGTACATTCATATGCGCCTCGAGCCAGCCTCCTAGACACCGGTTTGAGCCAGTGTCTGACTCCCACTGTGGAAGGCGTGGTATGGATTGAGCATAATCTGAGGCATCTGTATTATATTGTACTCACTCTCGCATAATTAAATGCTGACAGGATCCCTCAGTCTCTCCACATAGGGGCCAAGCAATCTCCCTATTTTATTTAAAAAAAAATTTGTTTGCCTGGCACTAACGCCTTATCTCTTTGTTAAAGAGAGAATTCTGGGCTCTTCAGAAGCTGGCAGGGATAAAAATTCAGTCACAAATTCTGGCGTCAATATCTCAATAAATATTTGTTGAAGGATTTCTTTTCATAGTAAACTGCAAGGTAGAATTTTGTTTTTATAGATGAAGAAGCAGGCTGGGAATAGGGATCAGGGAAGTACATTAGTGGACTATATTACGTGCCAGGTCCTGAGTTACGTAATAAAATTTTTAATTTTACTATTTTGTTTCACATGCTCATCAAAATAATCCTAAAAGGCAGATACTATGTGCTCTGTTACTGATGAGATACTGAAAAACACAGGTTAAGAAAATGGCCATGAATTTTAATTAAACAAGTCACTTTCCAATGCGAAACCGGATGTCCAACAAAAGCGTTTATGGAAGTAAACCCACCACAAATTAGAAGACATATGGAAAAGTAGTTTATAAACTATAATGAGTTTAAATATAAATATATATACATATGGTTATTACTACCCAGATGGCAGGAAAACATCAGTGTTTTTTAAAAAAATATTCATAGGCCACATCAAAGATTTTCTTACATGCATTTTTATCCCTTTCAGTCACTTCTCTTTATGAAACATATGCCAACCCAATAGAAAGGTTCCCAACAATGATTCATTTGGTTCACTGTTTTCCATTCAACTAGATAGTGATGGATATATACATATCTTTTTTCCATTCCACTGGACAGTGGTATGTGATAACGTGATAAGATTTTTCAAAGGTGACCTGATCACATTTAAAATTTCGATTCCAATTCTCCTTCCCTTCCTGCTTTATTTTCTCCAATTCCGTTTTCAAAATCTGACAGTACATTGGTTTTACTTGCTTACTGTCTGTCTCGCTCCAGTACAACACAAGTTTCTTGAGAGTAGGGATTTTTGTCTGTATACCTAACTTCTAATACAGGTATATATTGTAAAGACTCTATAAATATTTGTTGAATGAATGATTAAATGAATAGCCAGGAAAAATAGTTTCCTTTAAAATTCACAGATTAGACAAAAGACAAAACTCTCCATTCCCATCTCCACTTTATTATTTCTTATGTAAACATATAGGATAGTTACATCCAGGGAAAAATGGTAAGGATTTTCTCTTACACCAAAGTAACAACTGTCTTTCCAAGATCCTTTATACATAAATCCAGTAAATGAAGAGGCTGAACCAAAACATGCTGCATATTTTTCCCATCATATCAGAAACACAAAGAACTAAAAGTGAATGTTTTCAGTGAATAAATTCAACACTTTACTTTGCCCTACCTGCATTTTAAAAAAAGATTTCATTTTCCTGAAATTGTTTAGACACATCATGCAAACAGACACTCTCCTAGGAATGATTTGAGATCCCTCTGTGCTACCGAACAGGAATAAATAATAATAAATAACAACCATCACTTTCACAAAACACCCCTTCCCCCTAAGCAAAAATCTCAAAAGTGCTTACAAAAAATTTCACGAGAATCTTACAAGGCACACATAAAGCATAAACATAGTACAACCATAATTTTTTCAAACATCATAGATACCAATTTCTAAAAAAAAACAGTTTATTACTATTCTTTTACTCTCCCCTCCCATTTCTATCCCTCCCCTACAAAATTTCCTCCTAGGAAGCAAAAATAAGAAAATTACTTCAATCACAAACTATTTCTGAAAGGGAAGTGTTCTCATGCCTACAAATGGCCAATCATAGGTCAAATGGGAAAGAAAATTGAGCGCTGTGCTATCAAATTCTCCAGTGGAAGAAAAACACTCTTTAATTTAGAAAAGGTCTGTCTCCAATGGAGTACTAAATAGCAACATTCATAAAGACACAAAACTCTCCTCACTTGCTTTTCCCTCTGTTCTTAGAAACTCAGGAAGATTTAAATATAAAATCACAGAATTTTAGACCTGGAAATGATCTTACAAATTATCAAGATCAAAGTTGTTATTTTACATATAAATTTAAGAAAAGCTCAAGGAGAGGTGACCTACCCAATGTCGCTAACTAGTGACCTGGGAATTATGAAGTTGTTTTTCTTATCTAATACTAGAGCTGGATTACTTAAAATCTCTCCCAGAGTTAAAAATCTATAAAGAACATATTTTTCACAGAAGTATCACAAAAAAGATATTTAACATTTATAACAATCAACATGTGATTCATCACAAAATTCATTAAATGGTACAAAGTATATTACATTTTAAAATGTGGAAGGGCTTCCACAGAAACTAAACGTAGCAGAAATTCTAAATAAAGCTGAGGTGAGTAGAGGAGGAACAGAACATCTTGAAATAAGATGTATCCAGCCAGGCTTCTTTACAAATAGTTCCTGTGTTTTAGAAAATATGATTTGCCCTGCACTATATTTTAATCTTGTTATAACAACAAAAAGTTTTGTGTTATATGTGGACAGGGATATTAGAGAGCAACGGCTCATAGCACAATTTGAAATATTGCTCTCAGTTAAATAACCACACAGTCATGGTTTTGCTTTTGGCACATTTCTGGAAATACAGAGTAAAACTCTAGGGAGGGCTTCTTTCTAGGGTAAATTTGTGCTGTGCCGTACCCTGCTACCGTTCCTGTTGGTGTGGGACTCTCTAGGGATCTAAAATCCCAGCACCCGGCCCTCCGCCCCAAGTAAATCCGGATGTGGCCATTACTGGTCAGATTTATTCCAGGCCTGAGTGCATTCTTCTTCTCTTCTCATATATTGGAAAGTTTCTTTGCCTGCAGGATCTCGGTTCCCTGACCAGGGACTGAACCTAGGCCACAGCAGCGAGAGCCCAGAATCCTAACCACTAGGCCACCAGGGAACTCCTGGGCGAGCATGATCTGAAGCAAAGTGTGGGAAACCTCACCTGTCGGTCTGTGTGTGGGAGATGACTGTGCAGAATCCCTCCTGTGACTGTCGGCAGCAGTCTATTCCACGTAGTGAGGTCGCCCATGTATGCCTGGTTGTGGCACAGGAAGAGGGTATGCTGCTTCCAAGCATTAAACAGTATCTTTGAAACTTTCAAGATTGGCTTCAACAGCCTAAGGAAGATGCCTGGAAGAGGAAAGAACTGGAGTCTGGGATCGCTCTTTCTCAGGAACGGTTGACCTTTGAGGAGGTGGCCATAAAATTCACTCAGGAGGAGTGAGAATACCTGGACCCTGCTCAGAGGGCCTTGTACAGGGACGTGATGGTGGAGACCTATAGGAACCTGATCTCTATGGAGATCCTCTGAGGAAGATCTTCACGAGGAAGACCTTGCTAAATTGATCGAGCTCTGGGGAAATCAGAGACAAGCAGTCGAGAGAGCGGAGCCAGATGAAGGAGCGCCTGGCAGCCCTCTCTACTCATGTGACAGAGCTGGAGGAAGATCTGTACACGGCCAGAGAAGACCTCATTAAATCTGAGGAAATGAACACAAAATTGAAACGAGATGTCCGTGAAGCTGAGGCTAAAAACTGCCGGTTGCAAGAACGCCTGCAGCTGGCACAGCAGAAGCTGCAGCAGATCCTGCAGATAGCAGAGGTGCTCCCCAAGGTGGAGGCGGAGCTGGCCCAGAGTGTGGCTGCACTCTCCAAGGCAAGGCAGAGAGAAAATGAATGAAGAACATAATAAATGTTTATCGGACACTGTTGACAAGCTTCTTTCAGAATCTAACAAGAGGCTTCAGCTTCACCTTAAAGAGAGAACAGCTACTCTAGCAAAGAAGTCTCTCCTACTAGAAGTTGAGAACGCAAAAACACAGAAGAAATGCAACATGGTAAGGATCAGCTAAGAGTAAACCTGGAAGCCCTGAGAGCTTAACTGGACCAGACAAGGCTGAGAGGAGCTCCATCACCAAGGCCGACCCCCCTTGGGCAGCATCCCAGATGTCAGGTTCCCCGTAGCAGATGGGCCCGCAGACTCCTTCAGCAGCAGCATGGTGTGGCTGCACCCCCAGGAAGGCTGGCTGCCAGGGCTGAGTGAGGAGACTTCCAGGCCACCAGCTTCCCGAGAAGTGGTACAAGATGACAAGATGACCATAAAATGTGGAACCTCAGCCCCCTCCTCCCTGCTGTCCCTTCAGCTGGACCGGACGCACAAGGGGGTGCTGCACACAGCCAGCCCCAAGAACACCAGGGATGTGCACAACTCAAAAGGTTTGCAGGATGGCCCCTGCTGAGCAACCCCAGCAGTAGTAACAGTAGCCAGGACTCGCTGCCCGAAGCCCCGAGGAAGAAGGTCATCAAGTCCTCTATCGGCCGCTTGTCTGACAAGAAAGAAAAGGACCAACCTGGACATCTTGGCAAGGAATCGTGATGACAAGGTGGTAATGCAGAGACAGAAAACTCATCTCAAGATGCCCTGGGACTCAGCAAATTGGGAGGACAGGCTGAAAAAAATCGTAAACTTCCAAAAAACAAATGATCCCATATCCAACCACTGCCCGACAGCGACCACCTGGAGACCCAAGTTCCCAACCACTGAATTGCTTGAGCCTCATGAGCACGACATGTGAGAAACCTGCTGGCAAAAACAACTTTTTATTAAAATCGTTTTCAACTTGTTAGGAGGAAACATAAGTGGCCCACAGAACTGTATGCTTTTATCTTAAACCTGTTCAAGACAGGAACTTAAAATGAGCATTTTAATGGTACAGGGAAGCACCCTCCTCTGCCCTGGCCCTGGTGCTCCCTGTGCAATTTTTATTTATGAGTGACTGGAAAACAGTGACTAAAAGAAGTAGGACGTATACAATTCTCACCTAACAGGAAGTCCAGAGGGTGCAGTGGGGTGTGATGGATGCTCTGCCCCTTCTACCTCCATGACCACTTAATCTTTAGTGTCCTTACAGCAACTCTCGCATTGTGCATTTTTTTCAGTCAATATCCTCATAAAAAGAAAAATAAAATGTTTTTTTGCTTTCTCTTTTTATTGTATCTCTATGAGATGATGGATCCTTACTAAATTTATTGCACTACGTATTTCAATATATGTAAGTCAGAACATTATGCTATACACCTTAAGCTCATAAAGTGATGTATGTCAAGTACATCTCATAAAACTGAGGGGGAAAAGGCAAATAGAACACTTCAGGAAAAATGAAAAAAGAAAACTCTAGTGAGGGTTATAAAAATTGCATTAATGTAAATGAAAAAAGTTATTAAGAGGATACTAATAGCTACCCATATTTAAACTGCTCATCTAGTGACAGTAAGAAAACTAATATATATTGCCAATTCAAGATAAAAAAAGGAATGAACTACTGACACACACAGCAACATGGATGAGTCTCAAAGGCATTATGCTGAGTGAAAAAAGCATACCAAAAGGGAACATGCTATGGATTTCCCTGGTAGTCCAGTGGGTAAGACTCCGTGCTCCCAATGCAAGGGGCCTGGGTTCAATCCCTGGTCAGGGAACTAGATCCCACATGCATGCTGCAACCAAGAAGTCCGCATGCCGCAACTAAAAGATCCCGTGTGCTGCAACTAAGACCCAGTGCAGCCAAAAGAAAGAAATAAATAATAATTTTTTTTTAATAAAGAGGAACATACTATAAGGTTCCATTTATGATATTTCAGAAAAGGCAAAATTATAGTGATGGAGAACTGTTGCCTGGGTTTAGTGCTAGGATAAGGAGCTGACTACAAAGGAGTTTTGGAGGGTGATGGAATGTTCTGTATCCTAACTGCAGTGGTGGTTGCATAAATCTGTACATACATAAAAATTCATAGAACTGTACACCAAAAACAAAGGTCAATTTTACTGTACGTTAACCAACAAATAAAATAAATTTCAAAAAGGAAACAGAAAAAATATCTTAGAGCTTCATGCCAATGGTATAATTCTACTGGCCACAAAATTATTAAATGTAACTATATTAAATAAAATCAAGAAACCTGGGCCCAATTAATCATTTCTAAAATATGTACACTAACAACTCATGGAAATATTATTGTAAGGAATATTAGCTTATGTATAAGGAAAGTCTGCTACTTCCAAATGAATTTGAATTGTGTTCCTTTATGGTTTAAAACAATAGATACCTTGGTGTTTAGTTTAGAATCCAATAGAGTTGGTTAAAAAAAAATTCACCAGTCCTGTTTTCAAAATCACTAATAATGGGTAATAGCATGTTTTAAAATTTATTTTCTCTTCCCATTATCCTAATTTATTGAAGTTATGGTATGGTTGGATTTTACACTTATATCAATTACCTAGAGACTCAAAATCAGAATCTGGAAATAATGCTGGTCCTCTGTCACTAGAATCAAGGATATTTAAGAGGAACACTATTTCTCTAGGTAAACCACTGGGACTTATATATAATGTATGAGATGAAACAGCATCCTCTCAGCTTTAACATGTCTCCCACACTTTGGAACTGGTAGTACAAGTTCAGAAAGAATAACTTGTGTAGGTAGACCAAAAATAAGACCCAAAGACAGGGTTGGAAATGCAGTATTACAAATGTTGCATTTCTATAGAAAGACTTGCCTAACAGAATGATGTAAGGCTTACATAGCAAGGTGTGATTCTAATTATAGTCGATTTTGCCTTTCCAGATCATGCCTGGGTAGTTTTTCACCACTGCTTCTGCCATGGACAGAGGTTAAGTGCTTTTTGAGAGCAGATTTGTGCTTGAAATCCATGTCACAACAGTGGCATTTGTATGGCCGATCCCCACTGTGTATGTTCAAGTGGTCTTGAAGTGTGCTTTTAGCAGTAAATGTCTTCAGGCATACAGTACACTGAAAGGGCCGTATGCCCATGTGCCCTCGAATGTGCCGGTTGAGATTTTTCTTTTGTGTAAATGTTTTCCCACACTGTAAGCATAAGAACAGTTTATGCATCTTAAGGTGGCGCAGATAGTTTTCAACGTGAAGAAACCCCCGAGGGCACCGGGGGCACTGGTGCCTCAGGGAAAAAGCATCCTCTAGATTCTGAATCTCATTCACTGCACCATGACTTCCTTCAGTATTCTCACAAAATAAGCCCTGATCTTGATTCCCAGGAACTTCTGCCACTCTGCTCTCAACTGTAGAATTGATCAGTGAATGCTGTGTTTCCGAGAAATACATGCTTGCTTTTGAAGAGGTACAAGGCTGTGATAACTTCCCATTTTCTACACACCCAGTACTGATAGATTCCACATGGAGGATACGAATTTCATTGTCTTTAAAACCTATGTCTACTGAAGATAGCTCCGGTGACTTCATTTCCTTTCTTTCTGATGTCAAGCTCTCTACTGCAGACTGTAAAGCATTGCTTTCTTCTTCTTTAACATGGAAATCTATGTTTACAGGACTATCCTCTGAAATTTCAATGATCTCACAGTCTTTATCTGAATTTTCTTCTTCATTCTTAACATCTGGATCAGAGGATTGACACAGGTCAGCATGTTGATTGTTATTTTTCATAGAAAGATCAATTTCCAGATATTTTGACAAAGCTTCTGTGCACTTTTCCACAATGTGAACCATCTGAAGGTAACTAGCAGCAGTCAAGTATTTCAAAAGCTCTTTCCTTTTAACTTCAAGTGCTCCAGTGTAGCAAGAGAGCAACAATTTTCTGCCAACTTCTGCACTCTGCAAGATGGTGATTCTGACATGTTTTGACTGCGTGAGTAAAAACTGATCTCTCATAAAAGTGGAGCAAGCAGCTAAAATCACCTTGTGCCCCTGGAACTCAGTGTCATTAATATAAATCGACACATCACAAAATAAATTCTGCTGTCTCAAGAGATTCATTTTCTGCAAGACTACATCTCCTTGCTGTTCAAACTGGAAGTGCAGAACATCAGACTCAGCAGCCATGGTCACAATCTAAGCAAAATAAAACATAAACATTGATGTAAGGATCGGGGATGCTTTCCTACACTGTGATAGTAAAAACAAACAATCAAAAAATCCTAAACCTAAACTGGGTAAAAGACAACTCAAATTCTAATCTGGGTGCTAAGAGTGAACCCCTATATAACCATCTCAAGACCCAGAAAAATAAAACGCATTTCTCTATGCTCTTGTGGTACATTTTTCATACTTTTGTTACAGAACTTATTACGTTGAATTGTACTCAACAGTTTCTATGTTTTTCTCCTTGACTAAACTGAATGTGCTTGTGGTCAAGGACATTGTTAATACCCACTACTAAGTGGACTTAACTCAGTTTCCCAAATTAGAAACCTTAATGTAATCTCCAAACTTCCTATGCCTCATCACTGGACAAATGCAGTCTCGATACCACACTCTCCTACATTCCAAACTACCCTCCTAAGTGCCACCAGATTAACATCTTTTAAAACTTAAAAAAAAATTCAATTTTACTCTTCTGCTTTAAATCCTCCATTGCTCTCCTCTACCTCCAGGACAGCCTAACATTCTTAGCAATTACAAGATCTTTCATTATTTGGCCTTCACCAACGTTATGGCTTTACCTTTCCTCTATGTTTTACACTGAAGTTTCTCTGATATTTAGATTTTCACCACTGGCCGGACAAGAAGACCCAATAACACCTCTGCACATGTTACATTCGCGCTTTCAGCTAGTGATTTGGCTGAAGGCTCAAATCAAGTAAGATTTATCCACCCGTCTCCCGGACAGAGTCAGTTGCTCTCAGAACACCACGAAAAGGAGCCTGGCTCATCTGAGTTCCTGCAGCGAGCACACGGGCAGGCACAGAGCAGGGGCAGCTTCGGGAATATCTGTTGAACTGAATACGGACCACAGGTGGCCTGGAAGATCCTCCAGTTCGCCACATAGGTCTTCCCGAGCCAAGCCTGCCAGGACCAAGGTCCCGACGGCCAGGTGCCTGCAGCACCCCTCCAGCCACTCCCGGGCCGCGCCTCGCTGCTGCCCTCCTCCTCCGGCTTCCCCACCTGCCGGAGTTTCCCACGCGCTCACTCACCGACTCAGAAACCAGAGCTGAGCTTTCCGCTGCAGCGGCGGCCCAGGCCGGAAGGTGGGGTCAGCCTGGGAGGAAACACATCCGGTGTCAACTAGCTTCTTTCTTTACTGGGGCCCGCTGGGCGTCCCGGAAGGACATCCTGAGACAGTCTCCCTTACTCCCCCCACGCCTGGAATAACAGAAAAGCCCCCGAATTCTGGCAAGTCCCATCTCTCCTGTCCCACTTTCGGTACTCAAGCCGGTCCCCTCCGTGAGCTCTCTTCAACATCCGAATAGCAGACGGGTTGTAAAGTTGGGGTACAGCGCGTCTGTCAGAGGACCCAGCACCGGGAACCCTGGGAGGCCCTCCCGGATTTTAGGGGCCAGGTCCTCTGCTTAGCCCGAAATATACAATTTAAAAGGTGGCGGAGGTAAGGAGAGGAGAGTGCCAGCGGGATCAGTATTCGAGATTGCCTAGCTAACGCCCCATCAGGATCTGGATCCCACCTCACCGCTCAACCTATCGCTTCCTCCCCACGCCCCTACCCCTCTCACTTCCTTGGCAAACCCAGGCCTTCTATCTCAACCGTTGGCCCGGCTGTTTCCTCCAACATGCCCTATCCCTCCTACCACTCATCCTTCAAAATCCCATTCATCCATCGTTCATAAATCACATCATCCCTGAAGCCATCCTGAACTGCCCGTGAATTACTTGGCTCCCAATTGGGAACCAGTAAACCCTTTGGCTGCCTTAGTGACGGCAATTATCGTACCTGTATTGAAATGTGTCCCACCTAGGCAGAGGTATTTAGGACAGTGACTTACTGCTCCTTGCATTCCCGAAGTCTAGAACTTAGTAGGCATCAAGGATTTGCCAAATGAAGGAATGTCTCAGCTAATTCTTAAAAGCAGTTGCTCCATCCCCTCAGTCAATAGCACAGGAGGAAGTAACTGACCCTAGTAACAATTTCTGGTTAGCCCAGATTTGCTTCTGAAGCCAAGCTCAGCGTGCTTGATTAATGTCTTTTCAAGAATAGGAGTGAAGAAAGCATTCCTGTATTCAAATTCAAGCAACTGGAAAGGGAAGCAGGAGGGGAGAGAGAAAATAAACCACTGACACCAGAGCTTTAATTGTCAAACTTTTATTAAGGAAACTTCCCCATAATAAGTGAAGAGGTAGTTCACAGTATGTCTAACATACAACAGATTTAGAACAGCTATTCACCAGCTGAAATAAAATGTTCTGGGTTGTTTGTTTAGGATAATATCTTAGAAGTAGTGACACTGGTCACCCTCCATTTATAGACCTTCTAATAAGGAAACTAAAACAAATTAAAACCACATCTGATTTACCTCAGAGCCACTTCAGTTTGGAGTTTGCCTTTAAAATTAAATAATAAATAAATAACTGTGACACAGTAATTTTTTAAAAACCAAACTATGGTAAAGAGAGCCCTCTCTCCTTTTTAGTTATCCTGGGGATCCATAAAATACAAATGCTGAATGTCTAAGGTTTTAAAAAATCTTCCTCCTCTACAAGAATACGACTAGTTTTGAAAGTCATCTTCCCCTGTAAAACATATTTGATATCAGCAACCTGACCACTTTGCAATACAATCTAAGAAACATGTATAAACAAAGAAAGAGAAAAGTCAAGTACCACCAAAATTAAGAAAATGTCTCACAGAAACAGAACACCTCTCCAGCCAAGAAATGGAAGACACTGTAAACCATGTCAGTAGTTTGCAGCTGGAAAAGGTGAGAACTAGAAGATTTAGTGATACAAAACCATCAAGATGCTAATTTAAAGTGATCAAAGAAAGCAAGGCAGTTTTCTTTATTCTTCCTAGGATAAAACCAAATTGACACCTTATCTCACTAAGACTACATGAGATTGTAAGCTCTGTGAGGGCAGGGACCATAGCAATCTTACCTTCATATCCTCAGTATCTAGCATAGTGCCTGGCAATAGTAGGTGTTCAATAAATGTCTCTTGAATGTCTGAATGAATCCAGGAATAGTCTCCAACCAAAGAGACCAATCTTATTTGAACCCATGCCTTTTAGTCTTCAAACCAGTAACAAAAACAGGACATGAATGTAAGCAGAGGAAGCACTCCAACTTGAAATTTCCCTGTGATAAAATGATGTTCAGAGAAAATAGTGAAACATTGGTTAACATGTTAGTGTCTCACTGTTGCATAGAATTGGTACTCTTTGGCTGGATCATATAAAAACCAGAATGCTAGGCAGCATCATTAGACCATATAATGAGTGACATTAGGCATAGATACCTGTTAGTCTTATCACTCAATTTTATTCTCATTTAAAATCTTTTAACAAAAGGTAGAAATTATACTTCAAATCAGATTCACATATAAATGCATCAAATTATAACAACTTTAAGAACTCCCTCTGACTACTCAAGTTAAAACTAATTTTTGGTTTATCTGTACATGGACTCTCATAGCTCAGAAACAAAAACAGAAAATCCTGATGGAAACTAAATAAACACTGTTTCAAGACAAAATCAGTTTCACATTTGGATCCTTCTCGCATTATTCTTACTTGTTCTTGCCCTTCCTAATCAACACCTAGCAAATCAGTCACTTGCTTAGGAAAAATGTAATATTCATCCTAACCAAAAAATAATTAACTTACAAAAATAAATCCTTCTGTGATGTTTTATTTGCAAAATCCAGGATGTCTCAGAAAGCAAACAGTGATTCACAGAGGGGAAGCACAAACTAGGAACTTTTTATTAAGGTATTCTTGATCATGTACTACATCTTTTTAAGCCAAGGGACAGTGAGAAGTGAGGAGACCGTAGCTCATATTTAGTTACTTATCTACTTTGGCTAACCTTGGCCAGGCCACCTCTTTGGGCTTTGGATATCCCAACTTAAAAAAAGAGAGGTGGACTAAATGATCTCTTAAGATTCTCTGTGGACTCAAACACTCCTATTACCTAAATCTAACTTATGGGTCAGAAGTTAATAAGACTCAAAATTTTATTTCTGAACTATAACATGTGCTTTAGGAAGAACAGTTGTTTTGTTTTTCCATAATGGAAAATCAACTTTGTATTAGTGATCTATCAGAGGTGACAAGGTGGGACAATGTACCTTTATAAGAATATCTAAATGCAAAAACCTGATTGCTCCTGTGACCCACTTTTTTCATCCATTTTAGAAGTTAAGGTACACAAGGAAATGAGAATTCAGAGACTATTACAATACACTGGACAAAACTCTGAAGGCCAAACTCACCTTACTGATGGCTAACTTCTAAAACAAAGCCTAGAGAATGACTCCAGATAGCCCCTTTTTAGAGAGACCATTATGCGTTAGCACACTTTAAATGTGCCTGGAGCAATCCTGACTTCAAAAGCATCACCAAGTAAGTTAGAGGTTAATTATAAACATTTGGCTTCTTTTTGGGGAAGACCTCCCAAATAAGTACTGTTGTACAACTGTACTACTATCCTTTGTTGGTTATGCTCCCCATGCTGATTCCTAACTATCTGTCTGCAGGTGTTGCTAAAAATATTGTACTCTGGTCTATGTGAACTTCAATGATGTGAAGTTGGGCTATATACTGTTGAAAAGAGTACAGAATAATCTAAAATACTTTATAGCCAGCTCCAAGACAAGTACAAATTGTAGAAAGCAGATTCATTCATTTATCAGACATAGATGAATTATCAGTAGGCAAGGCAACTACAAATTCTATCACATATTCAGGCCAACAGCAATATCTCCTTATATCTCAGCTTATTTTCTGCCAATGAGAAATATTATTCGCTTCTCTTAGCATAGCATCTATTAGTGGATTGGAGGTGATATTATTAACTTGTTGGTACCTTCAGAATGTGCCCAGTGAAAAGTCTAAAACAGTGTCAGTCTAAGACATAAGTCAATGTTAGGTAGACAGGTGGAATACTCCTTGGGAAAAGAAACAGACATCACAGGATAAATAATTCAAAACAGAACATGGGAAAGGGCAAAAGGAAGGCAAGACCACTCCAAGTGGCAAGTTGCCTGGTCTATTAGTGCTTTGACTCACCCCTATGACTTCCAGAGCACAGAGGCTTTGGAGAAGTCAAATTCGCAAAATCACTCCTAAAAAGACTCAGACTATTGCCATGTTTGCAGTCAGTTCTAGTTAGGAGCATAAAGGCCCTACTCAATTCACACAAGTACTATCATTCCTTAAGTTCAGGACAGCTTGGGCCAGTTTACCTGCATCCAGGACCTGTGTCGCATCAGGCTGTGGCTGACACCCTTTAGAGTCTGTGACTGTTGTACATGCAAAAGAATCAAAGTCCACTGTGAGGTCTTGCACATTTCTTTCATTGGCATTATCAAAGCTGTTTTTGCCATGCAGCTGTTTAAGGTGTTTCCTCAAAACTGGCTTATGTGCAAAAACCATGTCACAATAGTTACACTTATGGGGCTTATCTCCACTGTGAAGGTTAAGATGATCCTGTAAGGAACACTTCTGAGAAAAGGTTTTCCCACAGATTTTACATTGGAAAGGTTTAATGCCGGCATGCACACGCATGTGTCGATGAAGGTTGCCTTTCTGAGTAAAAGTCTTGCCGCAGAGTAGACACATAAAGAGTTTGTGCATTTTTAAATGGTTGGCGTAGTTCTCCAGGTGACGAAACACCCTGGTACACTTTGGGCATTGGTGATGCCACTGTAGGCCTTTGTCTACACCTCGAATATTAGGCCCAAAGACATCTTTTGAGGCCATGATGACGTTATCACTGCCTGTGTAAGACAGGGCATAATTGTGGAGGTGGTTTTGTTCTATTTCACTTACTCTGTTTTCCACAGTTGAATTTATCAGAGAGTGCTGGGGCTCTGATGAATGTAAAGCAGTGGGTTCAGAAGAAATAAACTGGTTCTGATCTTTTTTACTTCTAACCTCTGATACATCCCCAATAGATTCTACCTTAACAATCTGAATATCACTGTCCTCCATATCCATACTGTCTTCAGATGGATGGATACAAGGTGAGTCCTGCTTTGGGGAGCCTCTGGCATCTCCCTGATGTTCTTTTGACTGGGGAGAAGCACTCTGTGGTTCACATCCCTCTTTACTATCCATTGGTTGTTTTGGCTTTATAAACTTCCACAAGGCCTGTGTGCACCGTTCTACAATGTGGCTCATCTGAAGAAAACTCGCAGCCGTCAAGTAATTTACCAGTTCCATCTCAGGGAATTCCAGCACACCACTGTAACAGGATAAGAGCAATTGTCTCCCCACTTCGGAACTCTGTAATATGGAGATTTTCACCTCTCTGGAATCGTTCAGTAAAAATTGGTCTCTTAAGAAGGGGGAACCTGCAGCAAACACAATTTTATGCCCCTGTACCTCAATATCATCTATGAGAACTGTAACATCACAAAATTTATTCTCTTCTCTTAATTTGTTCATTTTTTGTAACATTGAATCTCCATAATTTTCAAACTTGAAGTGAAGGAGATCTGATCTTTCAGACATTTTGGCAGACCTAAAGAACAGAAATGTTAAAAAGGATGAATTTAAGAAAATACAAACAATTAAGAAAACCTGGATTTTCCTTCCAAAAACAAATTTGTGTTGTCATACCTGTTTATATGTATCTGAATAAAATTTTCCTTAAAAGAGGAAGCTAGTATAACTGCTTTCAAAGGCTGTTAAAAATTACCTTACCAACATCAAGTGTCAATTGCACCTAAGGAGTGGACTTGTATCCATGTAAACAGCTTGGTATTCATTCAACTTTTTAAGATGCTTAATACAAGAACAGTGCTTGAGTTATTCCAAGGGCATTTTTTTGCTTCTCAAATGATAATTCTATCAGGTTTCAAGAACTACCTAAAACATCCCAACAAGTAATAATGAAATGACTACTTTATTTTGCATGATACTGTGAACCTGCTTCTTCGAAGACAAAACACTCTTTTCCTTCGCTTTGTATTTTACTGCAGTGACACTGCTTGCCCCATTCTTGGGTAAACCCTCTTCTATTTAAACTGATGTGAATTTACTCATACAAGTATTTCTGCAATAAAATGAAAGTCACATGCCTAAAGGGACAACTTTTAGACAGTGTCAAAGGCACAGGTCTTTATCCTGTGCATTTTGGACAAACCTAAACTCTTAAGAAACATTTCTTGATATAGGAAGTAAATATTTGATATAGAAAAACCAGATGAGTCACTTGGTGGGAATCTGAGTAGGAGTAAGGTGGATCTAGTTAATCCTTACCAGATTCTATTCTTTCTTCCTTATCCCTATTTATTCATCATTACTCATCAACTGGACTACTAGAACTGATTCATAAATGTTCCTTGGTTCCAGCTTCTATTACCTCTAATCCAACTTCTACACCATCACACGTTATCTTTCAAAAACACAGATCTGATTATATCCAGCTCCTGCCTAAAATCCTTCTGTGACCTCCCATTGTCTCCTGGATGAAGACGAACCTCTTGAATATAAACTGATCAAGTAAATTTAAGAATAATTAAGGTAAACATTAGCATAAACCATTCAACCATGGAGAAGGTGTCTTTGCCAAAACTCTGTGTATTTGTCCCTTTATGAAACAATTCCTTTGGAGAAAGTCCCCATGTTCTGATTCCATACTCTTCAAATGATTTTCTGATAACTTGGCTTCCCATGTGTCACTCTAAAGGGAAGGATGAATTAGCCATGGCAACGTGATATTGTCAACACATTTATTATTTTTACAATGACAATCCACCAGTCTATATAGCAGTCTTCTGTGAGATCAGTAGGTATATCAGGTCTACCCCTGAGAAGTGGCTCTACAATCTCAGTGCATCAATAAATTCACCTTGAACTTTATGTATCCATCAACTCCATAGTTGAGAATCACGAGACAACCAGTTGTTCCTAGCAACATCTGGCCCCGAAGCCCAATCTTTATAATTTTATCTTCTAGAATACTGAATTACAAAGGCTCATAGAACACCAGCTCGTAAAGGGAGAATCTAGGTCTCACTCATATTGCTCAGTGCCTGGTTCATGACAGCACTCTACTGACTCCAAACCTTAGCAGTTATTTCTTTAGTCCATAACACTATTCCTAGCCAATTCTGACTCCTTTATTTCCTCTGAGGGCCCTTCCCTAACCCCTTAGATTAGAACAGTTGTCTCTACTGGACCTATAATTAAGTGCTTCTAACATAACACTCAGGATACCAATACTTGTTCCTTCCCCCCAAACTGCAAGCTACGTGGCATTAGAGAGAAGAATCTCCACCCTATTCAATGGAGCTAATCCTGGGAACCTGCATCTTCTAGGGCAAAACACTCTTTCCTTTGGCTTCAAATTCTACTTAATGCAGCCACATTACTGGCCAAACCCTCTTCTGTTCAAACTGGTGTGTATTCCCATCACCTGATATTGTACTAAACACACGGCAGGTGCTCAGTTTGCATTTGTTGAACCTATGCGATTCATTTGACAGTAGTAAGAAGCAAGAACTGCTGTTAGGAAGACCAATGCAGTGTCTGCATAAGCATTACAGGTCTGAGGCCATGAGAGCCTAGAAAGGAATGAAAATGAATAAGGAGCAAGGAAAAATAACAAAAAGATATTTCAAAAAACTTGGTAGCTGGAGATAGAAAATGAAAAAAAGTAACAGGATTTCAGCCGAATTAAAATGTCATTGAAAGAGAGGTGAGATTTAGGAGGGGGAACTGGTATGGCACAGGTATATTAAAATATATTTATACATAAATTATAAGCTTTCCCTTTGTATGGCACTCTGAGTGTACAGATAATGAAAAATCACAATGAAGATGAGAGGAGGGATGTAGAGAAGCAAATTCAGCATCATAGAAAAGGTGGTGAATATCAAATGAAAAGGAAAAATCTAGGAGACACAGGGACTCTATCAGTAAACAAAGTGGCACAACCGTATTATCTATCTGTGGTCAGTTTTGGCAATTACAGTAGCTTAATATATTTGATCTGGAAACAGTGACTGTCCCCATTTATAACTAGAAATTATATAAATGATTGCTGTTCAAGTGGCCAAACAAAAGGGGCATTCTTACTTAGAGGTTTAGCTTGTCCTAAAGTTACTGACAGGTCAGTATTTTCCTACTCGCACTGAAAAATGGGCATTAATTGCTTCCATCTATAACATGACAGTACTTGTAATCCTTTAGACAACTATCCTCAGGGACTGTTCCTTGAAGTTCCAAAGACAGGAGTTGGAGTACAATTTAATTTACTTCCTATTCATCAGTCTCAAGAAACTTACCAACAGAAGCAGTCAAACAGGTATCTCAGGAAAGTGCTTGATTTGTCTGCTGTAGTCCAAGAATATGAGGGAAAATTATTCTGTTTAAGAAGTTTTCCTTAATGTCTCAGTCCACTGTATTGTCTCCCTTTGATAAACTCTTATTTCCAGGCCACACAGTTTATCCTTTAATTGTTTCTTGTCACCAGTCTCTCTTTCCAACAGACTGTTAGTTACTTGAGAGCAAGGACCAACTGTTGTTTTTTACACAGCTCATTCAACAAAAACCATAATTAACTCTTAATGTTCCCTAGGAAATTATTATTGAGCTATGGTAGAGATGCACTATATTATCATGATACCCTCTTTTGAGTGCCCTGGGGAAAATGTCTTTCTAGGGTTTGTTTCCAAAAAATAGTTTTAACAACATAAAACCAAATTTTAAACAAAATTTTTAAAATGTCAAAATAAAAAGGAACACTTGTTTCATATGAACTGGTTTAATTTTATTTAAAAATAAGAAAAATGATAGCTAATCTTTACTGAATCCTTGCTGAGTACCAGGTATAGTGCTAAGTGCTTTACCCAAGTTGACCCATTTAATCCTCAAAATCTCTATGAAATAGGTATTATTATCATCTCCACTTTGCCTATGAGGAAACCGAAGCTTGGTGAACATAAATAACTTGCTCAATTTAAGAGAGGTGGAAAGTATTATATGTTAGAGGTAGAACTTGTGCCCAAGCTGCATGATGCCAAAATTCATGTATGAAACTAGGCTAGCTGAAGTTTTATGTTATGGCTGTTAACTGTGTAACTGTTCAGATCTCCCTGCTCATATCCATTCAGCTGTACACTTATGATTGATATACTTTTGTGTATTTAGTTATGCTTCAATAAAAGTTTTATGTTTAAGAACAAAAACTACAACTTAAAGCCAAATTTGTGTCAAGTCTAGAGGACTTTAATAGTAAAGCATTTATGTATTATCCTTGTCTTACCTTCCTTTCTCACTTATTTTAACTTTATATTATTTTTCTATCTTTTGTGTATTTATCTTTTATTTTTTAATATCTTTACTGGAGTATAATTGCTTTACAATGGTGTGTTAGTTTCTGCTTTATAACAAAGTGAATCAGCTATACATATACTGTGTATTTATCTTTGTAGAATGAAACTTAATGCCATTTACAAACAAAACTTAATAAAATTATGAATATATTTGATTTTCAGACTCCCCAACTATAGTTAATTTATAACAGCAATTATTGATAATTGTCATAAAAATCTCTCACATAATTCTAGATTATAGCAGACGTTCTAGTAACTTAAAGAAAGTAAAGATCTGATCAGGTAGAATAGAGACTCGGTCCCCACATTCTGTTGATTCTTTCCTCAGAATGATTTCCAAATTCTCCCTCTATGTTCTTATTACCATTGGCATGGCTCAGGTCCTTATCATCTGTTGTCTAGGTTACTGTGATTAAGTCTAAATACTGCTGAGTTTCTCTCAGAAAGTTTTAAATGACCCATTTCTCAAACATCAATGAAATAGGAATAGTCTCACTTAAGATCATTCTCTCTTTATTTATATTTACACATTTCTTCCATAATCATTTCCATAACAAATGTTCCAGCTGATTTGAAAATTTCCCTTTGTTCAAATAGGAGTAACTAGAAATGATCAGTGAATATTCTACGTTCAACAACGTTCACTGCCGTGCGATGGGCAGTGCAAAAATATCCATGTTTCTTATCTAAAATGCCTCTAATAATACTGATAAGGAAAACTTTTCTATTCTGTATAATAAACTCCAAAGCTGTATGTCAGTCTGTTTCCTCATCTACCTCATAAAAGTGCCTTTATCTTTCAACTTAGCACTCACAGCTACTTGGAAATCTTTCTTCGTCTTTCATTAACACCATATGCCATTTTTCAAAGAGGTTGCAATAAACTACAGCTTTTCTCTCTATAAAACTCAATCATTTTCTTCTTTTGGGTAACTTTCATGACACTGCATTCTCCAAGGTCTCACTCTTTTGTTTTACTGTAAGATTACAGAAATATACCCTTCTTGGAAAAAAATTTTTTTTTTTTTTAATAACAATTATCCTTATTTCTTTTAGATCTAGGGCTTTTTTTGAGGTACAACTGACACACAACATTATATTAGTTTCAGGGGTGCAACATAATGATTGGATGGTTGTAAGTATCGTGGAATGATCGCAGCAAGTCTAGTTAACATCTGTCATCATACACACTTATGGAATTTTTTTCCTTGTAAGGAGACCTTTTGTTTTTTGCGGTCCGCGGGCCTCTCACTGTTGTGGCCTCTCCCGTTGCAGAGCACAGGCTCTGGACGCACAGGCTCAGCGGCCATGGCTCACGGGCCCAGCTGCTCCGCGGCATGTGGGATCCTCCCGGACCGGGGCATGAACCCGTGTCCCCTGCATCAGCAGGCAGACTCCCAACGACTGCGCCACCAGGGAAGCCCCGGAAAAATTTTTTAATATAGGTAAAGTACAAGCTCCCTTTCTCAGCCTCCTTCCACTCAGTTCTCAGTTGGTTCTAAGTTTCTTCCTTAATGACTCTCCCTCCCCTCCTTTTTTTTTTTTTTTTTGCGGTACGCGGCCCTCTCACTGTTGTGGCCTCTCCCGTTGCGGAGCACAGGCTCCGGACGCACAGGCTCAGCGGCCATGGCTCACGGGCGGGGCACGAACCCGTGTCCCCTGCATTAGCAGGCGGACTCAACCACTGCGCCACCAGGGAAGCCCTCCCTCCCCTCCATTTTTAAAACAACACCTATATCACAACACTTCTAGCCACAGAAAATAAAAAATAAAATTAGGTTTCTTATTTATAAACTATATATATATTGTTTTGCAACTTTCTTTTTTCATTTATTGCTTTTGAGGGTTATTTATGTTGAATAAACAGACCTAGTTCATTCTTCTTAAACTGTTGTACAGAAGTGGGCAAGTGACTTAACTACTGGCCTCAGTTTTCCACCATTCTTTTGCTGATCTGTTCCTCAAGGGTTCACTAAATTGTGTAAAGGTAAGTATATTCTTCAAAGCTTAGTCCTTGACTTTTTGCTGTTTTCTTGATGCTTACTTCCTCAGAAAGCCTGTCTTGGTTTCTCAATGTTTTATTACCTTCTCTGTTTAAAAAATTCCTAACTCTCCATCCTCATGGCTAATCTTAACCAAACTTAACCTCAATTCAAGCCAATCAAAAATACCTGCCCTAGGCTACTACTCTATCACTTGAAATGCATGATATCTAAACTCTTACACTGGCTAAAACTCAATAAGTCAAAAATAAAAGCTTATGGAGAATGGCTCTGAGAACAGTAGGCGTGGAAGCAAGAAAACCTGTTAGTATGCTATTACTTTAACAGATCAAGATAGAAATAATGAGGGGCTGAATAATATGGATACTGAGCGGAAATAATATGGATGGAGAGAGGAAACAGATTCTAGAAGATATTTCAAACAAAGAACTGATGGACTTGATGACCAAGGTGGGAAACAAGAGATGAAAGGTCAAGCTGACTCCAAGATATTTGGTTTGAGAAACTGGGTATCTTTGACAGAGTGTCATTCAATAAGCTAGGGAATATTGGAAGGGATAACCACGGGTCAGGTGTTAAAATGTTTAACCAGAGGAGCCTGCATGACATTAAGGAGAAGATCCATTAGCTAGCTGGATACAGCTCTGAAGCTGAAGAGGAGACCTGATTATAGATAATAATAGATGAAAGCATGACATAAACTGACCTAACTGTGAATGAAACTGACCTAAAATGGCACAGACTGGAAGAGAATCTAAGACAGAAGAAAAGAAATAAAAAACAAATACATAACACAAACATAAATCCATTACTTACCTTCTTCTCAATCTGGATCTCCTTCCAAGCCTCTCCATTTTTTTATTAATTGAGTCTATCTTTGCTTAAATTTTTCCCATTCTTTTGACTCCCATATTCAATCACTGCTTAGTGCAGTGGGTAAAACCACATTTCCTAGAATCAAAACCCTGCTCCACCACTTACTAGCTGTGTGACCTTGGGCAAGTTATTTAACCACTTCTGTTTTTCAGTTTTCCCACCTGTCAAAGAATATTACTTCATAGGGTTGTTATGGGAAATTAAATTAATTTTAAAGTAAATTCATTCTTAAAATTAAGTTAATTTTTAAAAGAACTTAGAATAGTGCCTGGAATTGTGCTCTATAAGCAAATGCTAGGTAAGTAAGTCAATAAAGCCTGTCAATTTTCTTTGTGAAATCCTTCATATGTGGCCTTTTTTTCATTCTCATTTGACACCAAACCACTTGAGGTCTGCATTATTTCATATATTATCACCTCATTACTCTATTAAAATCGTTTTGTAAAAGGTCACTCATGATCTCTTGATAAAGAAATGCCATCTTTTTTCCCCTCATTCTCCAAATGCTCTGCATCAACTGTCCCAGTGGACCCTTCTCAGTATTCTCTTGACTTCTGAGTCTTCTTGGTTGCTAGAACCCTTATATTTATCATCTGCTTCTTATATTTTATCATCTACTTCTGTTTCTGCTACTACACCAACTACTATTAGTTCTAAGTCTTCTTTCTGCTTTGTAAATGCAACCATTCCCCCAAAATATTCCTTTTTTTCTCAATAACCCCTTCCTGATGTCAGCTATTCCCATGGCTTCCACCTCTATGCTCTATGATAATTCAAACTTTTACCTCTAGCCACAGCATTTAGGTTGAGCTGCAGATTTGCATTTCCAACTCTATACTGGACAGCGCCATGTGGCTATCTCACTAGGCCTTCAAGTCAACATATCCAAAAATTGAATTTGTCATCTACGCTAGGCTTATGGTTTCATTGCTGATAATGGCATTAACATTCTTCAAATACCACAGGCCTAAAACCTAAGACTCAGCTTTGATACTTCTTTCACCCTCAACATCCAATTTATTATGGAGTCTTCACAGCATTCACTACAGCATTACCTGCCTTCTTTCCAATAATAGTGTCATAACTCCATTTCAGGATTTCATTACTTCTTACTAGACTGATCCCACTACTCCTTCAAAAGAATCTCCAATGAGAGCATCTAGACTTTAGCTAAAGAGTCCAGAATCAGTTTATAGAAATTCCTATCCTATAGGCTGACCTCCAGAACAAGATGGTTTTCTACAGTGCAAATCCAACTATACCAGTCTCCTGCTCAAAATTCTTCAAAATTACCCACCTCCTTTAGGATTAAACCTTCACTATCTGGACCTCGGTCTACTTTCCCAGCCTCATATCTCATCCTTTGCACAAGAGCCCCGCGCCCCCCTCCTCCTCTTCCCACACAAGTTATGCTCAGTCATCCCTTCACAGCATTGCAACTGTTCCTCCTGTAGGAAAAGCCCTTCTCCACCTTATCCTCTCCAACAAATAAAATTGAGAAGTCACTTTCTTTCTTCAGCCTCCCCAGCAACTGCCCCTTGAACAGTTTATACATATATGACTGATTCATACATCGCAGGGGCATTCATTTGTTTTTATCTGGCTCCCAAACTTGACCCTGAAACTTGGAACAATATCTTACGAATTCCCAGTGCCTGACATAGCGCCAGAAATATAAAGGTGCTGTTGCCAGTGGCAAAAGACTAACCTAGCTTAGCACTCATAATGATTCTCGCGGGCTGGCCCTGAGGCCTTGCCATGGCCCAGATCTGGCACTTCCTATAAGATGCCAGAGTCGGGCGTTCAAGCAAACTGCGGGGCCCTCGGCTAGGGTCCCAGGAGGAGGTCCCTGGGGGCATCCTTAGGCTCCCCACTCCAGACGCTGGGAAGGGAAAGGGGCGGGGCACAGCATGGGCCGGGCCTAGGGCTCCATAAGTCACCCCGGACCTAGGCCAGCCCCTCGGTCCCCATCCCAGGGCAGGTCCCGGCCAATCCAGGGCCCCAAGGGGGCTCCATTTTGAGAGACCTCGTACCCCTACCCGGCGCTCCGGCCGCCTCCGCACTTACAGACCCAGGGGAAGGCCACCGTCAGGATCCGGCACCGCCAGGAGCTCCGGCCCCTCGGGGCTCCGGGAAGGGGGAGGGGCGGGGAACCCGAGCCAAAGGGGGACCCAACGGAACCGGAAGGGCAGCCCTCGCCGGACAAAGACAACTTCCAGGTCCTACGGTCCTCTCCGCCAATCGGAAGGCTGGGAGGGCGGCGGGCTTGGAGAGAGACTTTCGGCGCTGTGGGCGGGGTGCAAAGCGCGTGCCCCAGGATCCTGCGAGCGTCTCCGCCCGTGAGTCGAGGTGTGGGTGCCGCGGCTCCTTTGCGTTTGGGGCTCAGGCCCCGCGCGCTTCGCTCCTTCTCAGCCGCTCCTCTCTAGCTGCGCCTCGGCTGTCTGCTGCCTGCGTGGGCCTGAAGGGCGCCTCCGCACTTAAAGTGTTGGTAAGCCCTTCCCGCCTAGGAATGTGGACTCGCCGCGTAGGGCCCAGGGAGTGGAGGGAAGGAAGTTTACCTCCCTCGCTTTTTGGATGTAGGTGTTTCCCAGGGATCTGCATTCTTCGTAACCTACAACGTGCTGACTATTCACACATCTCTTTCGCCAGACCAGACAGCTCTCTTGAGCTCCAGGGTCAGCTGCCTAGAAGACATCTCCAACTGGTTGTCCAGTGTTAATGTACCTTTGAACTCAAGTACATCCGCAGACCTGCTTCTTATCTCCTGTAGTCCTTGTGTTGGTGAACGGCATCATACACGCAGTCCTGCCCACCAGTGAACTTCAGTACCATTCTAGAGCCCTTTTCCATCTTGCCAGTCCAATGGCTCTCTGGCTTCTCCTTTTTACGGGGGTGGAGAGGGAGGATATTGTGGTAAAACATGAATAGTATTTATCATTTTAATCATTTGTAAGTATGAAGTTCCATGGCATTAAGTACATTCACAATATTGTAACCATCACCGCTGCTATAGCCAACTTCATTCTTTTGCATGTCGTTATCGTTTTTCCAGCACCGTTTTTGAAAAGTCTGTCCTTTCCCCATTGAATGGACTTGTCACCTTTGTTGAAAATCAACTGACCATATATGTGAGAATTTATTGCTGGGCTGTCTATTCTATTACATGTGACTGAAGCTCTTACACTAGTACCATATTCTTTTAATTACTGTAGCTTTGTAGTAAGTTTGTAAGTGAGGAAGTATGAGGCCTTCAACTTTATTCTTTTTTCCAGATTGTTTTGGCTATGCCAGGCCCCTTGAAATTCCATATGAATTTGAGGATCAGCTTTTACATTTTTGAGAAAAAGGCTGTTGTAATTTTGATAGAGATTGTGTTGAATCTGTAGATCACTTTGGGTAATATTGCCATCTTAATTTTAAGTCTTTCTGTCTAAACATGAAATGTCTTTCCATGTACTTAGGTCTTCATTAATTTCTTTCAGCAGTGTTTTCTAGTTTTCAGGGTATTTAATTCTTTTTGATAATATTATAAATGAAATTGCTTTCTTAATTTTCTTTTCACATTGTTGCTAGTGTGTAGAAACACAACTGAGTTTTGGTGTTGGTCTTGTACCCAGCAACGCTTCTGAATTTGTTTTTTGGCTCTAACTGAATTTGTTTTTTGGCTCTACAAGTTTCTTGTGGATTCTTTGGGTTTTTTAATATATATGTTTATGTTGCCTGTGAATATAGTTTTACCTCTTCGTTTACAATTTGGATGCCTTTTATTTCTTGTCTAATAGTTCTGGCTAGAACTTCCACTACAATGTTGAATAGCAGCAGTGAAAGTAGGCATCCTTGACTTGTTCATGAGTTGTTCTTAGAGGCGTAGGTAAGCTACTGATTTAGATGTGGGTTTTTCAGATACTTTTATCATGTTGAGGAATTTTCCCTCTGTAACTACTTTTCTGAAAGATCTTATCATGAAAAGGCATTGTATTCTGCCAGATGACTTTTCAGCATCAATTGAGATGATCATGAGGTTTTTTTCCTTAGTTCTTATTAATGAGATATATTACATTGGTTGAGCTTATGGTAAACCACTCTTGCATTCTTGGGATAAATCCCACTTGGTCATGGGGAATAATCCTGGTAGTATGCTATTGGATTTGATTTCCTTTTATGTTGTTGAGGATTTTTGCACCTATATGCATAAGAGACATTGGTATATAATTTTCTTGTGTTGTGTTTATTTAGCTTTGGTGTCAGGATAATGAAGGCCTCATGAGATTAGAAAGCATTCCCTCTTCTTCAGTTTTTTGGAAGAGTTTGAGAAAGATTGATATTAATTCTTAATTAAATAATTAAATTAAATATTTGGTACAATTCACTGGTGAAGCCATCTGGTGCAAGACTGTTCTTTTTTGGGAGGTTTTTGATTACACACTCAATCTCTTGTTATAAGTATATTGAGATTTTCTAATTTTTCTGGAATCCATTTATAATAAATAATTTGTGTGTTTCAAGGAATTTGCCCATTGTTTTCTAGGTTATTTTTGTTGATCTTTTCAAAGAAACAACTTTTGGTTTCATTGATTTTTTTTTTTTTCTCTCTCTTTCTTTTTTTTTTTTTGGTTTATTTCCATTACGTTTTATTTCCTTCTGCTAGTTTTGGGTTTAGTTTGTTCTTTTTCATATTTCATAAAGTATAAAGTTAGGGTGTTTTGAGATTTTTTCTTGTTTTTTTTTTTTTGTGTGTGTGGTACACGGGCCTCTCACTGCTGTGGCCTCTCCCATTGCAGAGCACAGGCTCCGGATGCGCAGGCTCAGCGGCCATGGCTCACAGGCCCAGCTGCTTCGCGGCATGTGGGATCCTCCCGATCCGGGGCACGAACCCGTGTCCCCTGCATCGGCAGGCGGATTCTCAACCGCTGCGCCCCCAGGGAAGCCTGAGATTTTTCTTGTTTTTTAATGTAGCCATTTACAACTATAAATTTCTCTAATTACTGTTTGCATTGTATCCTGTAAGTTTTGTATGTTTTTATCATTTTTACTCATTTTCAAGTACATTCTAATTTCCCTTTTGAGGTCTTCTTTGACCCATTTGTTCTTTAAGAATGTGTTTCTAATTTCCACATATTTTGAATTTTCCAGTTTTCCTTCTGTTACTGATTTCTAACTTCATCCCATTGTGGCTGGAGAAGATACGTTGTATAATACCTGTCTTTTAAAATCTATTGACACTTGTTTTATGGCCTAATGTATGGCCTGTCCTGGAGAATGTCCCATGTGAACTTGAAAAGAATGTGTATTCTGCTGTTGTTCAGTGGAATGTTCTGTACACTTCTGTTAGGTTCAGTTGGTTTATTGTGATGTTCAAGTCCTCTAATGCCTAACTTATCTTTATCTGGTTGTTCTATTCATTATTGAATGTGGGCTGTTGAAGTTTCTAATTATTGTAGAATTGTTTATTCCTCCCTTTAATTCTGGTCATTTTTGCTTCATATATTTTGAAAGTCTCTTCTAGTTATGTAAATGTTTATAATTTTTATATAATCTTGCTCTTTTGAATCTTTTATTAATATATAATGACCTTCTTTGTCTCTTGTAACCTTTTTTTTTTTTTTTTTTTTTCTTGCGTTATGCGGGCCTCTCACTGTTGTGGCCTCTCCCATTTGCGGAGCACAGGCTCCGGACGCGCAGGCTCAGCGGCCATGGCTCACGGGCCCAGCCGCATCGCGGCATGTGGGATCTTCCCGAAACGGGGCACGAACCCGCGTCTCCTGCATCGGCAGGCGGACTCTCAAGCACTGCGCCACCAGGGAAGCCCTCTTGTAACCTTTTTAAAGTCATTTTGTATGACCTTAGTATAACCTTCCCAGCTCCCTTTTGGTTAGTACTCGCATGGAATATCTTCTCTTTTCTTTTTTTTCCACTTTTAACTTGTTAATATCTTTGGCTCTAAAGTGAGTATTTTCTAGACTGCATATAGATGGATCATGTTTTTGTTTTTGTTTTATCCATTCTGCCCATCTCTGTCTTTTGATTGGAGAGTTTATGCCATTTACATTTAAAGTAACTACAGATGAGAAGGGACTTATTTCTGACATTTTGCTATTTGTCTTCTATAGGCCTTATAGCTTTTGTGTCTTTCATTTCTTCCATTACTGCCTTTTTCTGTGTTTGATTTTTTGTAGTGAAAAGTTTTGATTTATCTCTGATTTCCTTCTTTGTATATTCTATGGACATTTCCTTTGTGGTTGCTATAGGAATTACATTTAACAGCCCAAATTTATAACAATATAATTAAATTGATACCAACTTTAGTAGCATACAAAAACTCTCCTATACAGCTCTGTCTCCTCTTTCTGTTCTTGATGCTACAGATTACATCTTTATACATTGTGTGTGTAATAAATTAGACTAATATTTTTATGCATTTGTCTTTTAAATCATGTAGAAAATAAAAATGGAGTTAAACAATAATTACAATTATAATTGCCCATATATTTATCTTTACCGGAGATCTTTATTTCTTCATATGGCTTTAAATATTGTTGAGCATCCGTTCATTTCAATGTGAAGGATTCCCATCAGCATTTCCTGAAGGGTGGTTTTAGTGGTAATGAACTCCCTTAGCTTTTTTTAAAATCAGAGAATGTCTTAATTTCTCCCTCATTTTTGAAGGACAATTTTGCTAGATACAGATCTGTCAACAGTACTTTTATTTCATTGCTTTGAATATTATCAACCCACTGTCTTCCAGCCTCTAAGATTTAAGATGAGAAATTGTCTGATAATCTTATTGAAGATCCCTTATATGTGATGAGTATTCTCTCTTGTTGCTTTTAGGATTCTCTCTTTTCTTTGGCTTTCTACAGTTAGATTATTATCCTTTCTCCCCTTTCTCTCTCTCTTTTCCTCTTGGGGTGCTTACAGTGGTATGTTGTTTCTCTTGACAGTGTCCTACAGATCCTTTAGGCTCTGTTCACTTTCACATTTCTTCTTTTTTTTTCTGTTCCTCAGACGGAGTAGGAAGAACATGGAACCCATCTCTCTACCTAAACAACAATCGTACTGGCAGAAACTGAAGTAACTATTTTGGAACTCTGGAGTCTATTTGAATGCTTGCATGTTCCAGGGGAA